TCTAGGAGGTATAACGAGAGACTGAATAGTAGAAGAAAACACGAGAAGCGACGACACGAATCGAAAGGGAATTTTCGGTTGGTCGTTGCTCCGAAACCAAACGTGATCGACGAGCTCTCGCAGCTAACGACGATCCGCGAGGAGTCGAACCGCGAATTACGATTACACGGTTCGCTCGAGTCGATAGAATTAAGTTGTATTTAGTTACTACATCGACGGATAGTAAACACGTTTTGGAGGAAGATCGGGGCGGATGTTTCGTGCAATGACTTCAAAGCGGAGGTGGGGAAAATTGTCGTCTAGATAAAAAAAAAAAAAAACAATTCAAATAATGAATAAGAAACGTATGTTCATCACTCGTCGAATGAGAATGAAATTTTGAATGTAAATTTTTAAAAAGATTGTAAGTATTTAATCGAATAAATCGCGTCGATTTTATTCGTTATTCGAATGAAATTTTGCCCATCTCTGTTTGGTCGTATCTAACGAGACACTGAAGATATATACGTAAACGAAGAAGAACGGAGGAAAATGTGCGGCTAAATGTTAGAGGAATTATTAGACGTGTCGTTGGTCGATATTTACGAGCAGGTTTTTATTTCGTTCGAGTTTCTTACCGCTTAAAAGTTCGAAGTTCGAAATCACACCAAGTTCAAGACCACCCAACTTTGGTCCTCTGGAGTTTCTATCTTCGGAATTGAACGACGGAACGGTGACGATGGTATCCTTAGAAATAAAGAATCGCTCGTATCGATCGATGGCAGACGTGACGATTTTTCTCGGCGACGTAGCATTTATACAAATCATTTTGATTAAACGTTAGTAAAAAAGAAGGCGAGAGCAAGGGAGTCGATACTCGCGAGAAAAACGACTCGACGTTGCGAGGAATACTATTCGAGACGATACGTTCTCTCGTCGGGATAACGTATTGTGCATATATGAAAGATAATTTATTATATTAAATAGCGTATTATTGTATAGACGGCGATGAAACGTTGCACCGCGTCGATCAGCAATAAAATCGTCGCGAGATGATTGCTCTCGGAATAAAGAAAGCGAACGATAGATAGAAATAGGAAAAACGGAAAAAAAAAAAAGAAAGAAAACGAAGCGCGAAACGGAGGATGCATGATAGTTGTACGGAGACAAGTTGAAAACAAAAATGAGTGCAATGTTTTATTGTTACAAAAAAAAAAAAATAATAATAATTCCACTGAGCGCGATGCACGGAACGCGCTCCACGCGAGCAGTCACCTTCGAGAAAAGAAGTCTTCGTAACTATTTGCGTATTGCTTTATTGTTATACGAATACATTGTAAACGGTACGTTAAGATTAAAGGTAACGAGAATATTAAACTGACGGTGCCCATCGATTTCATTGCGCCCCCTCGATACGATCACGTGTATTTTATCCATTTGCGCGAGGCGAGATCTCGTCGAACAACTTTTGGGTTCTGAACTGAAGGGAATCAACTCTTTCGCTAGTATTACGTGGAATCTTTCTGATAAATTAATCGATTAATTGTCTTGTTCGTGTATTTATTTAGGGAATCGTTCTACGAACGTGAACTTGGAATCGACTCTTTCGCTAGTAGTAGGTGGAATCTTTCTGATAAATTGATCGATTAATTGTCTTGTTCGTGTATTTATTTAGGGAAATCGTTCTACGAATGTGTGTAAAAGTGATGTTATGTCGATTAGATTTACAGTTAATTCTTTTCTGGTGTTATTACTATGCAATGCTACACGCCAGCAAAGCTCCGTTTGATATCCTTCTTTTCTAACGAAATTGAATATCGATAGTGAAAGGGTTTGTCGCCAACGAAAATAGAACCTGAGAGGGGTCGATAGGTCGATCCCCGTCTCCCTTCATCTCGAATCCTCGTTCAACTGCACTGGTTATGTCCACGCATTGAATTTACCGCTTCCCCATCAGAGGCGTCTTGAAATCGCTGGTGTGTGCATTCTATTACAGGAAGATAGAAAGACCAACCCCTTGGTTAACCCCTCGTGGTCCTACGTCGAACGAGACTCGACAAGAACGTACCGAAAATCTATGCTTCGAAGGGTTAAAGGTCACGTGCTACCAGGAACAAGTAGCAGACAGTGTCCAGGCATTTTCCATGTCTGATCCGATACGAGCCGTGTCTACTTTCCAGAAATAATCTTTCTTTCTGCCTGTAATAGCTATTACGCCGCTAGGTTGAAGGCGGAGCATTTCGATTAATAGGATGACGGTTTACTTTCCCTTCTTTTTCTACGTACTTTGTATATTCCCCGGTAACCATCCATTGAAACACTGTGTATAATTATCGACTGATAAAAGAAAGAAAGAATCACTACGACTAACGTTCATTTTACTGTCAACCCCTCGACTGCGGGAGGAAATCCAATTTTCTGCCATTCATGCGCAACATTGAATTTTCTACATGACGAGTACGCGATGTTTTCTTTCTGTTTTTATTTATGGACGAAGTACATCGATCGACGTAGAACACTTCCCTTGGTTTTCACAATGTAAGTGCAATATCGCATTTTTTAAATTACGAGCTCCCGATGTGCTCTTTTTCTGGCTTTATTTATGAACGGGATATATACATATTGCATTTACATTGTTCGCGGTGAGATAACGAATAACGCAAATTCGACGTCACCTTCGATCCCCGCAGCTGAAGGGTTAATCGATCAGATTTTTATTGAACTGAAACGCGTTTACGTGGACGACGAAGAAGATGACTACTTCGTCGTCGGCGTAACAGCCTTTGCGACGACGCGACTCGTTTTATCGTCTCGCTTTCATCCGTTTCACTCGATGATTCCTTGCATGAATAAACCAATATAAAAATTGGTCTCTGCTCGACGATTGATGCGTCCATTTATAGAACGCTTGATGCCCTTAAATTTGTTATACAGTTCGAAAGAGGAATTCTTTTGAAACTCTCTTTACTTCACCGAAGGAAATCGGAATTCTTTGATACGACTAAAGGATAAATAAATTCTTCCTCCATCTCTCGTTGATTTGACGCGAATTTCGAATTCGTCGAGCAATGCCGAAGACTGTAATCCGTGATGAATCGAGTCGTGTCGTTTGACAAACATAATTATCGTCGTGAAAGAGTAACGTATAGTAAAACCTCGCAAATCTGTCGACGTTGGTGAAGCAATCGACCGGTTTCTTAGAAACTAGAGAGGCAAGGGATTGCGCCAATAGAGAAGTACAAATTATTAACGAGAGAACGAGAGTGAGATAGAGTGAATGAGATAAACAAAAAGAAACCGTAAATGCGAATAAAAAAAAAAAAATCAATCATTCGAGAATGAAACAATTGTGACCAATAACGAATGGGGTGTAACGTCTGATGTTTAGTTTCATCGCTTTTTATTCATTAACTTCGATTATATTATTGCTTGTAATATTAATTCGAGATACCTTGAATACAAAAAGTAATAAACAATGTTAGCCCGTCTTTTGTATATCGTACCCCACTTAATACTCGAATTAATCAATTTTTCATCGACTTCCTGCAAACAATTTATGCATTTCGCTACTCGTGATATAAAATATAGACTAATAACAATATTTGAAGATAATTTTTTTTATATGATTTGGAATGCTATTAAGTAATTAACAATAATTTTTGGACGAGATGACGTTCAGGACATTTTGTATATAAATTGCCAGCAGTTCTAAGTCTATGAAAAAATATTAAATATACAAAAAAAACCTTACTGTTGTTGGACTTAATCATTATTTGCAGTTCTACTAATTTCGAAAAGTCGAACTAATGTTTCGAAGGTATATGTACGTGATACTTATTAATACCCTAATATCTTATTTTTCCTTATGTTATACTTGAAATAAAATTAGATAATAAATGTAAGGAATAATAAAATGATTAACACATGTGTGATTATGCCAATAAATCATTTTTAAAAATATTTAATTTAATATTTTTTTTTTTAGTGATAGTGGCGCTATCGGTGGCAAAACGCTCAAGCTTGTCAAGAAATAGTTCCAACTCTTCGCCGCTAGATGGCGCCACAACATGAAAGCATAGTGAAAAAGTTAAATGCAAAAAAACCTTACTTAAACTCAATTTAATAATGATTTTAAATTCTACGATGTTTGTAGTATTGTTAACCTGTCGTTCTTTATTATATTAACGCAAATTTTGCGAATTTTAAATATTACTAGAAATCACCCTAGCGGTGGCGCCATCTCTTAACAAACTGCCCAAGTTGGTCGAAAAATAGTTCCACTTTTTCGAGGCTAGATGGCGCCACTAAGGTCTTAATGCCGACATTAGAGTATATTTGCTTAAGTTGTTTTATTAAATTAAATAATAGCAATTTAACTATACTACTAACATAACAGAGCTTCAGAGCGTATTAAAATTGAGCTAGGATAACGTTTTTTAACTTTTAATTTTTTCTTTAAGTAGTGGCGCTATCTAGCGGCGAAAACTGGAACTATGTCTCGACAAGCTTGGGCGCTTTGCCACCTATGGCGCCACTATCACTTAAAAAAAAAATAATAAATTAAATATTATTAAAAATTATTTATCGGCATAATTACATATGCGCCAACTATTTTATTGTTCCCTACGTTTATTATTTAATTTTTCATCAAGTTAATCATAAGGAAATAGTGTCATATATGTACATATATTTTGAAAATTAGTTCGACCTTCTGGCCGCGAGATGGCGATACCATTTGTCTGTCCATTAATCGCAAGTTTGTACTTGTATGTCAATTAAACTATTATGTCTGCATATACAATGATAAATTTGGCATAATCACAGCATGCGCTAACCATTTTATTATTTTTTATACATAGTATTTAATTGTATTTAAAATAATAAATAGATAAAGTGCTTAAATTGTTTGTAGAAAGTCAATAAACAATCGAATAAATGTGGACAGCCTGTGACAACTACTCCAAAAACACTTTTAAGACAGATATATTTAGGAAATGCTTATAAAGAAACCATGCTATGAATTGTTTTCAATCTTTCAGTATGTTTTATTGAGCATATATACAAATAAAAACAGATTTTATTCAGTCTCTTCAAAAATTGGTTTCCGTAATCTCCGTTGGAACGTATATTTCTGCTCCAATCTGTACAGAAGAATGTATAACAATTAATGTACAACAAGCATTAAAATATAAACAATCAAACAATAAAAGAATGTCTCTTTAGATTAAATTTAATACACTTTAGAGTAGAATACAAAGCTTTGTTTAACAAGGAGTTTGTTATATTTACGTTTCACGATTCTGTGCATACTTCGCGAATAACCTAATTTTATGTTACAGGCATGAAATAATTTTAGCATAATTTAGCAGAATCAATATTCAATAATATAATTCTAATAGAATATACTCTGATAAGAGATAGATTAGGACTCTACGAGGAGAGAAAATCCTGTTCTCGATGTATCCTAAATAGACATCTGTGTCGCATAGGTCAGGTTAGAATCATATTAACTCGTGCAGGAACTATATATAGCTCGTGTGCATGTAGTCACGAGTGCTAAGTGCCATATTGCAGTGATAAGAAAGTGTTTTCCACTCCCTAAGATAAGAACTTTCAATCATTGTTTAATATAAAAGACTGTCGATTGAGCGATCAAAAAAATGGCGGTTAGTCCGTTTGTCAATACGGCAGATCGCTGACAATAATGTGAGAAACGTGTATCATTTTACGCCCACACGCCTATCGAATGCTGATAAGAATAAAACGGATTTCTCGGTCCATTATCGCACGTGTCGCACGCAGCAACGATGAGTATTTTGAAAAAAAGGTAATATAATACGTGTACTCTAATCTGCTTGTAAAGTTTCAGTCAAAAAATTTACTATTTCAGATTAAACGAGTTTGATGACGTCCTGAACGCTGAAGAAATAGATCTTGTTAGTCTGAAACGATTATGCTTCCATGGTATGAATCTGTATGTCTATTTTAATCCTCTTTATCTGTCGAATCGGATGCTGTGGTCTTTGTATCTCTCTGTGCTTCAAATTGTAATTAAACAATGTATACTTACCAATTGAGTGTTCTTTCTAGGAATACCAGATGAAGGAGGGCTCAGACCATTATGCTGGAAACTATTGTTAAATTATTTACCTCCTACAAGAGCTAGTTGGTCTGAAATACTTACACGCAAGAGAATACTCTATAAAACATTTATCAGTATAAATCCAGACTTCTATCTTATTTGTAACAGGGTAACTAATAAACTCAGCAATAATATAAACACTCTCATTTACAGAGGATCTAATTGTTATGCCAGGTGAAATGAACATGGATGGTGAAAGAGTAGATGTCACTCTCGATGATCATCCATTAAATTTAAACCCTGATAGCAAGTGGCAAACTTATTTCAAAGACAACGAAGTTCTTCTACAGATAGACAAAGATGTTAGGAGGCTCTGTCCGGATATATCTTTCTTTCAACAAGGTACAGATTATCCCTGTATGGATATTGTGAATGCCAGTGGTCAGAAACGTTTACATCACAGAGTGCAGCACACAGTTTTAAGAAGTGCAAATGTGGAAAGGAAAGGACTTGGCATCACTAAGGTAATTAAATTTATGAGTAACACGAGGAAAAGATAAAACTAACTTTGTTTCTTATATTCGTATGCTGATATGGAAAGCAGCAGGTAACATTGTTCAATTGATCCAATGAAATATCTCGCGATAAAGTTCCTAAAGAATTATTGTATATTTCTTGCAGATAGCAGTTTCTGTTAAGAAAGCTGTAGAAGATTATGCACCTCTTGCAGAAGGTGGAGAGGCACATTGGGAAGTCTTGGAAAGAATACTTTTCCTGTATGCTAAACTCAATCCAGGCCAGGGCTATGTGCAAGGCATGAACGAAATTGTTGGACCCATTTATCACACGTTTGCTTGCGATCCTGATCAAACCTGGAGAGGTAAATTGTAAATATCTATCTTTAAGCGATTCACGAACTAATTAAACGTTATTCCTAGAACACGCAGAGGCGGACACCTTCTTTTGCTTTACCAATTTGATGAGCGAAATTCGTGATTTTTTTATAAAATCACTGGATGAAGCCGAATTTGGAATAAATTCGATGATGAGCAAACTTACAACCCAAGTGAAGACTAATGATCCAGAAGTGTGGATGCGTTTACATCAACAAGAATTATGCCCGCAATATTACAGTTTTAGGTAAGGTAATAACAATTTATTTTTTATTCCATTTATATATCTAATGTTTTACATATGAATTAAAATTTTTTATCAGATGGTTAACGCTTCTCCTGTCTCAAGAATTTCCACTACCAGACGTTATGAGAATTTGGGATTCTTTATTTGCTGATGAGAACAGATTCAGCTTTTTGATACACATTTGCTGTGCCATGATTTTGTAAGTTATACTTGTTTCGAGAAACTGTATGGCCTGAAATAAATATAAATCGATACACACAATTTTTCAGATTACTAAGGGACCAACTGTTTGCTGGTGATTTTGCTACAAACGTGAAACTTTTACAAGTAAGTAAAATATTAAACTTTCGTTTTAGTTCGAAAAACTATGTAATTCATTCTGTATTCAGAATTTTCCCTCAATGGACATTCAGATAGTACTTTCTAAAGCGGCAGCATTGGCAGGGAAAACTTTAAATTCGCCATAACGTATGATTATACATGCATAAGGATTTGAATTTTGCTCTCTATTTCTTTATTAATCAAGATGGAGAGAGATTATTAACCCTTAACAAGAAAAAGCGGGTTTCGGGCTCGTGAATATTATTATTATTATTTTATAGACAATTACTACAAATAAGAAAGTACCAGTGAAAGTATTTTTTTGTAAATTAATATATTTTTTACGAGAATAGTAATCGAACCATTATCAAATCCAACTATCGTCACAATTTTACGTCAATTTAAACTCTATTGTCAATATTAAGTAAGTTGATGATTTTTTTACCTTTTTCTCGTTCAAGTAGAACGTATGTAGACAACAGCAGACGAGAGAAAATTTTTAATAAGCACTGTCGTAGAACGAAGAAGGAACGATTATCGCATGAGTAAGAACTGTTTCTCGTTAGGGGTTAAAACAAGTATGTTAATGCTGTGAATGATACAGCCATATTAAAAATATAAATCTTGTTATATTAAAAAAAAAAGAAAAGAATGAAATAAGAATGAGTGGTTTCGTAACAAACAATATGCGAAAGGGTAGTCCAGTAGTTACTAAAAATATAAAACAATAAAAAAAAATAGCGAAGACGCGCGAGTGCGTGCGTAGTAATGGCTGATTCGATATACATTTTGTAACGATTAAACAGTAATAGATTATTATCGTTTATACGCGCAATAATCACGTAATCTGTTTAAGTGAAATATATTTTGTAATCTTATTTTTGTAATGACCTCCGTCGTTCGTTCTATGTTTATAAAATAAAACAACGTTATATTTGCATAAATCAACCGTCTTCGTCTTATCGAACGAACCAACTGTTCGTTACGTTCGATATATTTCTCGATGTCGCCCGATTATTGATCGAATCGATCGCGTTCGTGGTAATCTTTCGATAGGTAGCCGCCATTTAGCGGAGTTTCGAAGTGAAAAACGCGCGAATGATTTTACGTGGAAAATGATTAATTAATAAGTGTCAATTGTGCCATTAGTGATCTCTATTACATTAAATTGCGACTATTCTTATGGCTCCTTGGTATAATGATACTCGAAAGTTGCGAGAGTAATTTTTATGAACAGTTGCGAGTATGGTGACAGGTGCACTTGTTACACCAGTTTAAGGGTTAAGCGTCCTGTTTAGGAAATATCAATTAAAAATTCTAGAATACTGGGTAGAGTTATATTGTCAATTTTAAATAGTCGTCTGTGCAGTGTTGTTAATATTATTGCAAGTGACAGATGATACAGACCATCCATACCACATCCAGTTGTATGTTGATCACGTATATCAATATTTTATTGGCTTTTTTTCCTAAAAGTAGTGTTATTACATTAAAGAGGAATAAGAAGGTCGCACTTGAAGCTGTGAGAAAATATAAATGGGACTTTGAGAAGCTTATCTAGTGTCACCAAATGGAGAGGATGCGTAGTGGTAAGTACATAAATGAATAATAAGTTTTTCTAATAGATCATGTGATTTTGTCTTGGTTTATTATACTTCTTAAGAAATCCTTTACAAAAGAAAAATGTAAATTCGACGTCTTAGTTTATAACAACATTTTTAACCCTTGTTATTATGTTTTTATATTGTGCCATTTTTGCTTGTATTATCAAACTTTTGTATATTATTTAGACATTATCTCCTATGTTTTATGATGTGTCTATTGCTCCATAATCATTTCAAAGTTGTTCAAAGGTCAAAATGCTTTGAATCATTAATATTCTAACTACTATTCTATTTAGAAAGAGTCTACCACTTAAAAGAGAACTATTTATATTTATATACGCATATCAATATAGGCTATTAATTCCTGTATATTGATGCAAGGTATATTGAAAGTCTTGCTATGAATACTATAAGTAGACACCCAACAACACAGTTAATAATTTACTGTAAACAAACTCTGATACTTGATAATTTCTCATTTAAATTTAAATTGTGGGTATTTTTAGCCCCCAATTGTACTTTCTCCACACAACCTTAATATAAAATTGTTACTGCAAAACTTGCATCGAGATTGCAATATTGTTTTAAGCAAACGTATTCGTGATGACACAAAATAATGTGATTTTAATCAGAACAAAACGCCATTCGATTGTAGATACAAACGTAAAGTACGATAAATTCTATGAGAAACACCTGCAAAGCTGGGTCAAATTAATCAAATATTCAACGACCGTTCTATCCGAAGAGGAAGCGGATTATTATTATGAAAGTAATAAAGCCGGCGCGTTCGCGAGCAGAATAAGCCGAATTTCTAGATTTCATTTCATTTCGTCTCATCCACCGGCAAATAGAATGATTGGGACCGCGCGGGCGGTGAATATAAATCAGAATACGTTTCGATCATTTGCGAACTAGATGCACGTCTATCTGTTTACATGCGTAATACGATAGTCGAGCCGCGTACAGAATACAAATCTCCCATTATATCGTGTGCCCGGTTATCGACAAAAATGAACAACAAAATATGCCGGTTATTTGTTAAAAATTGGTGGATAAATTGGATTTAGTCTACAATTGGAAAATTCCAATCAATTAGTATCATCTGTGATCCAATTAAAAAATATCTTTCGATCAAATCTACATTCTTCCCTTTAGTTTTCTATTTTCTATCCCAATAAGCCCGACTAATGCCCCAGAATTTTCCTCAAAAGCTCCCTCAAAAAAAAAAAAAAAAAAAAAAAAATCTGTCCCCCGAACGCGGATTTCCTGAAGCCTCTCGTGA